CAAAACTTTTGCCTGTGTTTGCCTGAAAAGGACCAGAGTGAAGAGCTAAGTGCTAGCGACTCCTTGGGTCCCCATTCTGAGTTTAGAGGGAAAGACAGGGGGATATTAAATAGGAATTGTCCAAGTTCTTGGAGCAAATAACAATAGCAAAGTCAGAAGTCTGGCCGCAGGGGCGGGAGGAGTGCGCAATTCTGCAAGGAGACTCGCGTCTTGGAAAAATAAATGCCAAATAAAGGCAGGGTGAGGGCTGTAGAAGATTTCGACTATAAAAGAGGGACACCCTCTCCCCCGGCTTTTCGTGATTAAAAAATCCTGTTTTGTGTGTAAATGGGACAGCTAACATGGTAAGACCTGAAGCTTTCTCCCTCTCCACAGCCGGTCCGACCTTGCAGTTCTCAGGGCGCTCACTACTGACTGCCCTTCCAATGGAAAGGGCATCCCATCCCCAGGAAAGGAAGACTTTCCTGCATATTTGAAAAAGGAAACTTGTCCTTTGAAAAAAATATTTGTTCTTCGAATTTTCCCCAGATCTGCAAACTGTCCGGAAGAACTCGTGGTACGTAGCAGCACTCCTTAATTAAAGGATGACTTTTCGCCTTGGGTCCCCCCTGTCCCAGCTGATCCTTCCCAGAACTGGGCAGGTACAGCTCGCCCAAGACAGAAGTCTGAACGGGATGCAGTGAAGCCACAGAAAGGGGGCCCTGAGCAGGCACACGTCGGACCCAAGACCGGCAGAGGCGCTCAGCCGGCCGCGCCCTGGGAACGCGGAGTCTGGGTTCCTACAGCTGCAAGGTGGTGACTGCATTATGGGTTTTCCTCCCCACAAAACACTCTCCTGCGAGCACGGATCTTTTTCAGAGGTGACGCAATGTCCTCAAACACCCCCAGCCCCCAAGTTAAAACATAAAAAGGTAAAGGGAGGGGAGGCTTGCAGTTCCTCCGCCATACGCAACTCCACCCCTCCCTTCCCTCGCCGCCAGCCCAGCCCCTGCACAGACGCTTCCCATCCCTTCCCCCAACCTCCAAGAAAGTTTGACGACCGCAGAGGAAACCGAAAAAAAGTTCTCCTGCCCCAGGCCTGGCGGGCGATCAGCATCTCTTTTGTTCGGGGCGAACCCACAGCGCCCCGTGACGTCACCCGCGCCCGGGCCAATCGGCTAGCGGTCGCCCGGGCCCGCGGCTGCGGCGGGAAGGGGGCGCCCCTCCTCCCCGAGTCCCGGCCTTGCGGGGGGCGGGCGGCTCCGGCCCATATAAGCCCGGCTCCCCGGGCTCGGCCGCCCGCGCCCTCGGAGCTGCACGGGGGAGGAGAGGGAGTCCCGGCGCCGGCGGGGAAGGAGGGACCTGCAGCCACAACTTCTCTGGCCCTCTCCATCCCATCTGTCCCTCTACCTGTCCCCTTCCCCAGAGACCTGGGAAGGGCTTTACTCGCGGGCTGCAGAGGGAACCGGACTTGGTGCCGCTAGCCTCCGGGTAGGGCGGCTGACCCGCCACCGACTCAACATGCTCAGGGGTCCGGGGCCCGGGCTGCTGCTGCTGGCCGCCCTGTGCCTGGGGATAGGGGTGCCGCCCACCGGGGCCTCGAAGAGCAAGAGGCAGGCTCAGCAGATCGTGCAGCCGCAGTCCCCGGTGACTGTCAGTCAGAGCAAGCGTGAGTACCGCCCGCGGGCTGGCGCCGGGAGGGGACCCGAAAGCCAGCTAAAGTTGCCGCTGAAGTTTTGCGCGCGCGCGCACGCGGGTGTGTGCATGTAAGTGTATGAGTGCGCTTTGAAAAAAAACTGAAGAGAATGTAGTTGTGGACACAGATCTTGGTTTGTGCTCGCCGATTCGTAGGAGGGCTTAGGAGGACATAAGGCGCTGGAAGATAGGGCTGGGGTGTCCCCCAGTGTCCTCCTGGATTCTATTCGTTCAGGTTGACCCTTGAAGGAAACTAACTTCGCCTTTAAAAAGAAAAATGTTTGCCTGTAAATTCTCCGTCTGGGATTAGTGTGGTCCCTAACTGCACTGTATTTTCTTTGTTACTAAATTATTGGTTAAATATGTTCAAAATGGGGGTGGGAAAAAGATGGCTGATAGCTGTGCTGAAAAAAAATGTAATTGGTCTAGATTATTTGGGGCGCCCTCGGGATGCTTCACTGAGAACAGAAGTTGAAATTCCTCTTCCAGTTTTTTACATAACCCTACCCCTTTTCCTTTGGCTAAAAGGAAACTTTAAAGTTGTTCTTGACTTATTTTTCCATAAGTATTGAAGTCCTGAGTGTTTTAAAATGTAATTTTAATCATCTGCTTTTCAAAAATGCTTCCACTTTAATACTGGCCAGATGGAAATGACATCGTTGTATACCATTCGGTGAGAGTGAGAGAGAGAGAGACAGAGACAGAGACAGAGAGACAGAGAGAAAGAGAGAAAGAGAAACAGAGACAAGAAAGAAAGAAAAAAACCCTAAATATCCACTGACATAAAATGAGTTTAAATCTTTTGGAAAACTAGTTTCCATATCTATATTTTAGTAGAATATTTGTTTTAATCTCATGGTATTCTGGGGATTATTTTTTGTGTATGGTGCTCAGACTTGTCAATTCAGTTGTGCAAGAAAATTCCATAATTTTTTTTAAAAAGACGAAAATGTAATAACTTTTTCCTTCAATTATTTACAGCTGGTTGCTATGACAACGGAAAACACTATCAGATAAACCAACAATGGGAGCGCACCTACCTAGGCAATGCCTTGGTCTGTACCTGTTATGGAGGGAGCCGAGGTTTTAACTGTGAAAGTAAACCTGAACGTAAGTGTCTTGGACTCTGATCATTAATATCTTTTAATAGACAAACCTGTGCTTGTTAATTAGACTTGGTATTGAGTATAGATCCAGATGCCATTGTTCTAGTGGAATTACCTGTTATGCCTTCTTTATAAACATTTGATAACTTTATATTTGCTTTACACGCAATACTTTTACCTTTAAAACAACACAAACGTATTCCAAACTAGTTTACAGAACATTTCCATTTATTTATTTGTCTGTTTTACTTTCCTAAAGTTTTGATGAAGAAAATGAAAGATTTTTGTGTGTGGCTCAAAGAAATTGATTATGAGAGCCAGATTTTTAAGAAAGTAATCTCAGGTCTTTCTCTGGGTTACAAGACGGTGAGGCAATTTGCCAGCCGCTGTTCAATGGAACACTATGAACACTTCAAAGTTCTCACACTTTTAGGATCATTAATACTTCTTCCAAACTATATAGAAATTCCTTCAAAGAAGAACTGATGAGCTTAACATGGAAAAGCTTGGTAGGGTTAACAAGGGTCAGGCTGGTGGGAGGAGGGGATCTGGGAAGTGTTTGCTTTCTCTGTGAACCTTGGCTTGACTTCTAGAGTCAAAGATTAAAATTTGAAACAATCTGGCTGGTCACGAGGTGGCACTTTACGTGGCACTTTAGATGCCTTTTTCCTAAGAATTCTTTACAATAGAAGCTAATTTCTAGAAAACTTAAGAACTTGTGAAAAAGGCAGAAACTGAGGTCTCATGAAGGCCAAAAGTAAAACTGTAGCTCTGAACTGTTTTTTACCTCCAGTTGTGTCACACCACTTACTCATAGAAGAGAAATGTGGGTTTTCCTTTGCCTGGATTTGTGGACTAGGAAAGCTTTTATTTGCGTTTGTGAGGGTCACATGGATTTTTTTTCTCCCCTCAGCTGAAGAGACTTGCTTTGACAAATATACCGGGAACACGTACCGAGTGGGTGATACTTACGAGCGCCCTAAAGATTCTATGATCTGGGACTGCACCTGCATTGGGGCTGGGCGCGGGAGAATAAGTTGCACCATTGCAAGTAAGGAAGACATGATGGAAAATGATGATAAAATATCGTGCATAGGAATTTATAACCATCAGTATCATTTGTGTTATCCATAACTGGATATTCCTCACTTTGGGGGTACCCCTGGTGATCAGTTACTCATATGTGATCATTCAACTGATTCTTGGGGTTCTATAAGATGGATCTGAACCCTGGTGGTGGATCTGCTTAACCTGTGTAGATCTCTAGTATGTGCATGCATGTGTGTCCATAATATGACCAAGAAGACTTCTTGGGATCCATTTCAGTCAGATGGGCTTCAAATAGTTACTTATTTCAAATTACTTGGGCCTCTTCAGGCCAGACTGACTGTACCGGGGATTGAACTCAGGACCTTGCACTTGCTAGGCAAGCACTTATTCTACTGAGCTATCTCCCCAGCCCTTGAGTTGTTCAGTGAATCAGTTGTGTTCTTGCGCTTGCTAGGCAAGGGCTTATTCTACTGAGCTATCTCCCCAGCCCCTGCTGTCTGCTCTTCTTGTTTGCAACTAGAGATCTTTTGCATCTCACAACTAGAGATCTTTTGCATCTCATTTGTGACCAATAGGTTATACCCAGGAAACTGATCTTTTTTTTTTTTTTCCCCAGAGATAATGTGCCCAGATTTTGTACAAGGAACTCTAGGGACTAGGCTAAATCTCACCAATTGTAGCATAATTAAGGCAAATCTTTCCAGTATGATTCACTGGGTTACCAGAATTTTCTATTAATATAGCTTTTTTTGCTTCTTTCCAAAAGAACCAGTTAGTCCCTTGTGAATAGACCCAATCAACTTTCCCCATACTTAATGTTAGGATTTTTCCAAGGTTATTAGCAAATCTCCAGAGTCAGTGGTGAACAATGTTTTCAATGTGGTAGATGATTCTGCCTTAGGGCTACTAAGTTGAACAGCCCAGAAAAGCACCAGGATTCCCATATGCAATATGTGTCCATGCTTGCTTTCCACCACAGTGACCTTTCTATCTTAGGATAAAATATGGGCTCTTCATACTCCTGAAAATTGGAATGGTTTGCCCAATGCAGTCCTTTCATCGAAGTGTTCTCAGGAGCAAACTCCTATGACATGAGCAGAGTTCATGGCTGCCATCCTTCCTTTTCTACTTTAGACCTAGTTTCCTGTGATCTCTCAGGGTCTAAGGGAATGAGCCCTTCTTTGTCATTCACAATTCTCTGCAGGTTCCCATTGTTTTTGAAGCAAAATTTTTAATTGAATTGACTGGCAATGACCAGCTCTATTAACTTTCTGTCTGGTAGTAAAACTATTCTCTGGTTCACTTTCTCCAATACAAGTCTTTCTGCAATATGGCAGGTAGAACATGAAACTTATTTCCCATAAATTCTTTCTCTTAACATTTGCCTTTTGTCCTAAATAGACCGCTGCCATGAGGGGGATCAGTCCTACAAGATCGGAGACACCTGGAGGAGGCCGCATGAGACTGGGGGTTACATGTTGGAGTGTGTGTGCCTGGGCAATGGGAAAGGCGAATGGACCTGCAAGCCGATAGGTGTGTGGCCTCGGGAGCCCGGGGGGAGAGGGATGCACAGCTGGGAGTGGGCTTGGCCCCAAATCACAGTGACATGGACAAGAGCGCTGAGTTCCAACTTAAACAAAAATTAGCAAAATGGACTTTTTTTCTCAAATACTGAAATGTTCAGTGATTTAAAGTCTTTGAAAAATCAGATCACAAAGTACTTACTACAAATGGAAGTCTTAATTTGCTTCCAAACCACAAACCAGAGTTGACAGATTTAGGAAAAATCCTGTTCATTAGTCTATATCAGATCCCAGATTCCCTCTTGGTCAAGACATACACTATTTAAAAGACAAAAATGACACTTTAAACACATTTCTTTGTGATAATACACTGGACCAAAACCAAAAGTGGCATGTGCTTTGTTACACCTTGATAATTTCTTTATGAAATAAAAATGCTGGAGCTTCTTTTTTCTCTTAATCCTCAGTTGAGCTCTGTGAGGTCCACATCTAAAAGTTTTTTGGGGCTAGCCAGATAGCTCAGTGGACTAAGTGTGCCGGGCCGGGCCCCGCCCCCAGGGCATGCTGAGACAGTGATGGAGACTGGGTGTGGTGGTGCCTACCTGTAATCCCAGTGCTTGGGAGGCTGAACACAGGAGGATCACTTAGGAATCTGATGCGTGTAGTGAGACCCTGTAGCCCCTGTACTAAAATACAAAATAAATAAATAAGCAAAAGTTTTTTGTTCTGCTTAGTTACTGTTCTCTGATTCAAAGATTTTTATTTTATTTTAGGTGTATTTTTACAGAGATCCAAATTTTGCATAGTTTTCTTAACAATTTTATTTGGGCCATTTATAGTTTGTAATTGGTTTCAATCATAATAAAGATTGGAATTTTGTGTATCTGATCTGTGACAAACCAGACACGTACTTTTTTTTTTCCACTTTAAATGCTGGTGGGCAGCTTGGAATTGGCTGAAAATATGTAGTCGGTGTACTCATTAGAAGGACAGGATCTGTGCCTGCCAGCTCAGCGTGGGCTTCCTTTCTCTTTGGCTATTTAGTGTGTGTTTAGTTGCAGGGTGTGCCTTTCTTTCTGAACAGAGTGCCACTTAAAAAAATGTGGCTGGATTTTTGCTTACATACTATGCTTTAAATTATAGGAGGCAGCATAATTCAGAATAACTTTTTTTTTCCCTGTTCTTCTTCCAAATTTTTTTACAGCTGAGAAATGTTTCGATCATGCCGCGGGGACTTCCTATGTTGTTGGGGAGACCTGGGAAAAGCCCTATCAAGGCTGGATGATGGTGGACTGTACCTGTCTGGGAGAAGGCAGTGGACGCATCACTTGTACCTCTAGAAGTATGTTCTAGATCTGTATGTGGATGATTAGACCAGATATGGCTTTCTGGATTCCTAGAGAGAATTGCACTCATATGCTACTTAGAACACACTCAGTACACGAGTGTGCTTTGATAATTTTTGTGTCAGGAGAAATTCCTTCACTCTGCTTTAGTTTAATAGAGCCTTAGGTTATCAACTACTAAAGAGGAATCTTAGTGTTCACTCAAATGCCCAGTGTGTCACTGACTTAAGTTCAGTTGCCCATGTGTAGTTGGGTAATCATAATTAACATTGAGATGTGTTTTGAATATTATCACGAGCAAATAATCACTAAAACAGCATGCAACTATATCTTGGCAGCTATTGATGTGGATGTAATGAGCTCTAAAGATGTGGTATTTCCATCTATGTTGAAAGTTTAAATAAAGGCAAAACTGATGGAAATAAAAAGCATCTATTCCATAGATGATGGCTTTTACCTAAAGCTGCCAAAGCTAATTCTGTGAAAAAGTTGGTCTCAGGCATCCTTATACTCTTTCTAAGACTGTCTTAAAGTCTTAATTACTGCCTTTTGTTTCAAGCCTCTTTTTGTCCAATTACAAGCTAACCACAACTCTAGAGCGTGGAACACCCATTACTATTGTTGTAAATGAATTTAAACTGAAATCTAAATATCCTGAAGCTATTTTGTTTATCTAGCTTAAAATAGTTAACTAGATTTAAATACGCTTCCAAATTCAAATTCTTTGCTAACAACACAAAAGAAATATTATGAAAAATAGTAAGGGTTCTGGGCAAATATTTCTCATAAACTTACTGGCTCATGAGATCTTTTGTATTGAAAGTGTTAAGATCATTAGACTTTAAGAACTTGGGAGCAGTATTTGACTTAAGACAAATCGGAAGTCTAATTCAAACTCCTTAAGCATTTCTGGAGCAGCTGGGAAAAGTTCCTTAAAGAAAGGTCACTTACTGCATGAAGTTTTATAAGCATGGGTGCCATTTAGGGTGAAATAGGGAGGCAAAAGTATGTTGGACGTTACCTCAGGCTTGAAAGAGTACTTAGTAGGTCTGAGAGATGAGGAAGGTTTATATGTATTTATCACCTACAGGGCACAATATTAGGTGGTTCAGGTGAGATACTGCAGTAGTGTGGTGGAGGCTCAGGAGGTGATGCACTATTAGCTGAAGACTTGGGTGAGAATCTCTAATTAGCAAGAGTGCCTTGATTCAATCTGCATTCTTATGGCGGACTGATATATTTGTGTGTTCCTACATCAACTCCTAAATTATAGTTTCTGTAACCCAGCCATTGCACTAATTCACAAATAAATCAGATCCATAAATCTATAAATTATAAACCTATATAAATCTATTATCAATTTATAATCAAATTGCAGTACATGGACAGAACTGGATTACAATTTAAACAATGTATTAGCCAGACAGTTGAATACATAGACTAATAGTGCAATTACCAATGATCATTCTTACGTGCCTAATGTCAGCTTGAGCAATTTTTTAAAAAAGACCCTTTTGTTAGTGATTTTTAAATAGGTGTCTTGGGATAGGGTGAGAAAAAAGATCATTTTAATCAAAGAAATAGTATTCTGAATTTTCTTGTACCTAACAAATGAAAACAAAAGCATTACAGTGTTTTCTTAGAGTTGGGACAACTGGTAGAGGCCATTTGGAACCTGCATGTGTGTCCTTATTGTTTCTAGTGCTCTAAACAAAGTTCCCTATTGAAAGATGAGCCAAAGATAGGTATTACTACGAGGAAGGCTGGAAGGTCCAAGGGGAAGAAAAAAAGAATAGCACATGTCAGAAAAGGGATTTGATTAGAACAAGAGCATAAAAAGTTTAAAGCAAAATCAGTGAAAAGATGATGAACAAGTTTTGTCAGAGAGATGGAATGAGGTGAAACCACATAGTTCCCTCTCCACAGTAACAAATGTAACCCCATCTCTAGAAGTTTAATATCTGTAAGGGCCAGAACTGAACATGAACATGTTATCAAAAGTGGGCTTCCAAGCATGAAACTACTATACTACTTTCTTAGGTTTGGAATGGCTACTTGGCAGTCTCAACCATACTGATGTATTTAAATGCTTCCTTTCTGAAATAGACAGATGCAACGACCAGGACACCAGGACATCCTACAGGATTGGAGACACCTGGAGCAAGAAGGATAACCGAGGAAACCTGCTGCAGTGCATCTGCACAGGCAACGGCCGCGGGGAGTGGAAATGCGAGAGACACACTTCTCTACAGACCACGTCCACGGGTGAGGCCCGGGCTAGGGGGCCGGAGGGGAAAGCGGCTCGGGAAATACGTCCTTGGGTCATCGCTCTCCTTTCATGAGGATTTTCATCTAATATGCTATGATCATTTATAGATTTTAGTCATTAAAGCTTTTTAATGCGTAGTTTTAAATTTTGGAGAAAAAAGTGAAAGTGGATCTTGGAGAGAGGAAGGCAGACTTCTAAAAGATAGTAGAAAGCAAGGGTGTAGCTCAGTGGTACTGAGTAGATGGTGTGCTCCAGGCTCTGATTCCACCCTCACCATCAAAGCAACCAATAATAAAAGTTTTTAAAGTTTAATCATTTCTGGTATAAAAAAGGTTTTTGCATCATGGACATTTTTTATGCAAGCCTAAAGAAAGACATGTGGCTGTAATGGCTAGGGCTGGCCAGATAGCTCAGTGGATTGAAGCACCTGCATAGGCAGACACAGGAACTGGGGTTCGATTCCCAGCATGCCATGCCGGCCCCGCCCCCAGGTTGTGCTGAGATGGCCAATGCGACTGGGTGTGCTGTCTCACACCTATAATCCCAGTGTTTGCGAGGCTGAAAGCAGGAGGATCACTATGAGTCTGATCCATATAGTGAGACCCTGTAGACTCTGTACTAAATATATAAAGTTAAAAAAAAAAAAAAAAAAAAACTGTGGCTGTGATGGGTGTGTCCTTCTGCTATTATCCTTAGTATGTTTCCATCAACTTTTTACTACACAAATGTGTTGGCATTGTTACTTATCCTTTTATCAATCAGTCACTTATTGAACTAAAAATAATAATTTTTCTCCTTTTGATGAGTTTTTATCCTGACCTAACACTTAGGAATGTGAAGAAGATTAGATTTGATGGTATCTTTGAGTTACTTAATCATAATAAAATTGCTGCTGGTCCCCCTGATCTCCCCCAAAATTACAAATATCAACCTACTAAATAGATAAAAGGGGTCCTTGGAAATTAAATGGGGGTAAACACTTAATAAATGTGAGCTATTTTGTTAATATTACTCAGAGTATAATGAAAAACTTTCATTGTCCAAAAGAATTTGAGAAACATTGAGTTAAAAAATATATAACTTGCTGTATAGGTCTTTTACATTCCTTTGTACAGTGACTTTCAAGGTGAAGTGTATGGAGATGAGCCGGTTCTCCAGTGTCTGTGGCCCTGAGATTCTTCCTCTGGGAAATATTTTAGGGTTTTAATGGCCAATAGCACTTAGCTACCAGACTCAGACTCCCTGCCCATGTAGCCTCCGTTCTGACTCTGAGGTGGGTCCTGGGCTTTAGGAGCTGCCAGGTGTCTTTCCAGTGTGGTGACTTTCATTTCTCACAACCTTAGGATCCGGTGGTCCCTTCACAGACATCCGAACAGCCATTTACCAGCCCCAGCCTCACCCCCAGCCTGCTCCTTATGGTCACTGTGTCACAGACAGTGGCGTGGTCTACTCTGTGGGGATGCAGTGGCTGAAGACACAAGGGAATAAACAAATGCTCTGCACCTGCCTGGGCAATGGCGTCAGCTGCCAGGAGACAGGTTCGTGTTCTCTCCTTGTAAGCTAGTGCTGGAAACTTTGACTTTTAGTTTTTATATGGCACTGCATTCATTTACAACACATATAAAGCAGTACAATAAGAAAAACTTAGCATCATGGCACCCCGTGATGATATTCAAGGGTGGATGTGATATATTTCCTTCTAATCTTTTTGATCTGTGTGTTTTCCTTCCAATTGTGGGGATCAAACTGCTATGCACTACGTTTATTTGTTTAAAATGCTACTACAAAGAAAGCTGCTTTCTGAAGAGTTAATCATTCATATTTTATACTTTAAAGCTCAAATTTTAATAACATTGTGACACAACCATCTTTCAGTGGCCTGATGTATCTCTCCTGGGTTATAAACTGGGTGACAACTATAGCAATAATAAATTGGAACATTTTACAAAAGAGATCTCCTTCGCTAGAACAGCATCATGCATTATTTTTGCTGGCACAGACGTCGTCATCCATACTCCTCTAGCATCCTTGAACAATATCCTTAATTTATACGTATCAATTAGCTTTACAAATAGAGAAACTGATAGCAAAACTCAGATCCCATCCATGGCAGGCACGGCTTCCTGAGTAATGTATTTTGACTGAAGTTAACCAGATGACCATTGCTATGCCCGATGTTTTCCTTCGAGGGTGTAAACGCAGTCTCTCATAAGGTACAGATAAGCAGCTGCTGGTGGGACATAAAGCACTGTATTAACTGAGACTCTTTGGATTGTGTGTGTAGCTGTGACACAAACGTATGGTGGCAATTCAAATGGGGAGCCATGTGTCTTACCGTTCACCTACAACGGGAGGACTTTCTACTCCTGCACCTCCGAAGGGCGACAGGACGGACATCTTTGGTGCAGCACAACTTCGAATTATGAGCAGGACAAGAAATATTCCTTCTGTACAGACCATACTGGTAAGTGTCTTGGGGCCAGCAGAGCAGTGAAGAAAACCGACTTTACTCGCGAGCATTCTGACCACTAATGTGAGGCTTCACAAGGAACATCACTTTGGATCTGTCTGGAACCAGGAAACATGAAGCCAACTTAATAGTTGAGGGCTTTTCCATGTTCCCCAGTACTCCTGGGAAATGACTCCAAGGCAAGAGTCCTCTAAGGTCATTTATTTTGATACACAGAGATGGCGATGTGATTAGAGATGACTGGTATATGGAAGTCAGTAGGGTGGGCATCAGGGTGCCTTCACTTATCTTCTAGATAAAACTATTATTCAAGCTATCATTTAATCTTTTGCATTTTTCTTTGAGTTGGGAAATGAGTACAAATAACAAATTTATTGAAGGATAAAGGTGAATATGCAAAAAATCTTTGAACTCTGTTACCAGGCATCTTTCATCCTGAAAGAGTAAGAATTGCTCATAGGAACCTCACTCTGAGAATCTCACTGTAGGTCATTTCCTTGTATGTGAGGAAGTTCGACTGTAATCATTTTGTTCTTATTTGTGTGTTGCCCCGGGCAGTTTTGGTTCAGACTCGAGGTGGAAATTCTAATGGTGCCCTGTGCCACTTCCCCTTCCTGTACAACAACCACAATTACACCGACTGTACCTCTGAGGGCAGAAGAGATAATATGAAGTGGTGTGGGACCACGCAGAACTATGATGCTGATCAGAAGTTTGGATTCTGCCCCATGGCTGGTAAGATGGGACTGACCCTCTGAGTGGCTTGGGTGCACAGTCACTTGGAGCAGAGCCCAAGGCTCGTGTCCTCTTCGCTCTTATTAGGACAGTTTGGGAAGCAAAACTATATATGCATATGTGTGTGTATAATAAATGTTATATACATGAGAGATGAGAAGATATACGTGTAATTATATACTTCAAAAATTCCATTGGTGTGCTTGGTTGAGCAACATACATACTAAAAATCCTATTGGCATAATTTAATGCTCCAAATACACAAATACAATTTTAAAATATATTTTAAACACACACACACACACACACACAAGATTTGCAAATACAAATTTGCAAATACAAATTTGCAAAGCTCTGTGTTTTGTAAGTGTAAAACCGAGTGCATTTTGGGTGGCTGCCCTTCCAGACCTACAGTGCTGACATGTGACTTTGGTTTGCCTGGCACAAGCTCCCCGACACTTAGTACATATGGAAGCAACCAAATCAAGTCAGAAAATCTGATTTTTGACAAGTACGGATTTTTTTTTTAAATCTCCAGTTTATATAAACAGAGAAAGGGGAAACCAGTGCATTTTACTTATTTTCAAATTGTAATAATTTCGTGGAGTACATCTGATTTTCCAGTTGTAGAATCGAGCCAGGAACCTGTGCACTGTGCAGTATGATGCATGTGAGAGGCACGGAAATGGCTTACCCCTTTATTTCTCACATTTCAAACAAAGATAATAATGGTTTTAAAAGGAAAATTCACTTTTGCTTGCAATTCTATACCAAATGCAATATTTTCTTCTGAACTAGAAAAAAACTGAAATGAACAAAAGTTACAAGGAAGTAGTGAATCCAGGCTTCAAGAACAATATGAACCTCATGAGTGAATGTGTAGCTACTGTCTTAGTTTAGCATTCCCTAGCCCTCCCTGTAATTGTTTCCTACAACGTACTTCACCTTTGGGACCTGGAAGACTCTGTGGTTTTGGAATTCTATACTTTTGCCTTGCAAACCTTAGATACCTTGGAGGCCCACAGGCTTCTTTCAAAATGAGAGTTTCTATCTATCTATCTATCTATCTATCTATCTATCTATCTATCTATCTATCTATCTATTGTGTGTGTATGCACGTACATTGGTGCTATTAGAGATTGGACCTTTATAATGAGCTACATCTCCAAACCTCTTTCTTTGTGTGCATCTTTTGAAACAGGATGGTGCTGTGCACTTCAGGCTGGCCTTGAGCTCACTTCATATCCCAGGGTGGTCTCCATCTTGTCACGATCTTTTGGCCTCAGCATCCCAGAATGCTGGGATTAACAGGAGTGTGCTATGACACCTGGCTCCATCCCTTTCTTATTTTTAATTGTTTTGCTAAGTTATCTAGCCTGGAGTTGAACTCAAGATCTTCCTTCGTCAGGAAGGAAGATGAGATTAAAGGAACCAGCTCCTATACCTGTCTTATCACTTAAGACTTGAAAGGATGCTTTCCTCTGGCCACTGTAGAAAGAATAGTTTTCAGGGGAGCAGGAATGGATGCTGAGAGAAGGGAGGGTGACATTAGAGGTCCAGGCTTGATATGGTGATAATTAGAGCCAGGAAAGCAATCCTGGGTATGGAGAGAGAAGGGCTCTGTAAACTCAAAAGGTAGAGACACCTGGAAGAGCCAAAAGAATGAGTTTGGGAAGTTCTGAAAAGAGTGATCCAGGATACCTCCAGTGGTTACTTACAAGAACATGAAGATGAAGGGATGAAAAGTGAGCTGGGGAGAAAATCTGTTTCAAACAGGTTCACTTTGAGTTTAATTTGAGACATTCAAGGGCAAAGATTAGGAGAATCTTGAGCTCCAGTGACATCCAGGTAGAGAAGACAAGCACAGGAGCCCTTGTCAGAAAGTGACAGTGGGAGCACAGCCTGGTTACAGGTGAGCAGGAGCCACAGGAATCACAGGAAAAGTGTCCCCAGAAAGGGATCAGTCAGGGTGCAGGTGCCCCAGACATGAGATTTTAGAATGGCCAGACTGGGCTGATAATATAATAGCACATGCAGACCTGTCAGATACTGTGGGCACCTACCAAATGCATTTCATTTCTGTTTCCAAACAGCGCATGAAGAAATCTGCACAACCAATGAAGGGGTCATGTATCGCATTGGGGACCAGTGGGATAAACAGCATGACATGGGCCACATGATGCGGTGCACATGTGTGGGGAATGGTCGTGGGGAATGGACATGTGTCGCCTACTCCCAGCTCCGAGGTATGCTGTCTTGCCTTTGAACATGTGTGAAAAATCAAGTAGGGCAGAGAAACAGGCTCTCATGTAAAAACCTACACTGTGCCAAAAGCGGAGAGAGACTTCTGCAGTGCCAATTTATTAGGCTGTGTTCTGGGGAAGGTTATCATTTTGGGCAGCCAGTTAAGAAAAGCTGGCATAGGAATTCTGAGGCTCTGAAACAGGATATGAGGACTGAGGCTAAGCCAGAAAGGTGGCTTCAAAGGCAGCACAAACATTTGATCCTTTTAGCTTTAGATGATGCTACTGGCTTCATGTCTAGAAAAGATTAGATCATTTCTATAAAGAAAGAAGACGAAATCAGATCTTTGCAGATCCAAATTTAAGAAGACAAATATGTAGGGAGACTTATTTCTTTTGTTCAGACAGTTTTGTCCCATTTGGACCCAGGCATATAATATGAGGAGTTGTTGGTTTGCTAAAGCAATTTAAGTTTTCCATTTCTCTGATTTCAAAAGTAGAACATGGAGCTAATCCCAAGGAGTCCAAGCAGCCAATGTGGATATTGGCCTGAATTTGTTCCTTTTGTGGTATCCAGTGAGAAGCACAATCCAGGAGAAATAGAATTCTATCTGATTTTGCAGAGCCGAAAGGAACCTTAATAAGGTGCAGACCAGCTCCTCACTTAACAGGTGGAGAAGCCGAGGCCCAGAGAGGGAAAGTAATTTTCTCAGTGTCTCTCAGGAGAGTGAGAAGAAAAGTTGACCTAGTTTTTTTTTTCTTTTTTAACTTTGCAAATGTAGATTCCATTTTACTTTTTAAATCTGAATATCCTCCCCACTTGCCATTTCAGAAACCAGACTATACAAGACTGTCCTGTGTGCTGCATAAATATGTTTAATCATCCTACTATTACAAACAGATTGAAGGAAAGCCAGCAACTGACAGAACTTTATAGAAATTAAGATATTTTATTTAAAAATTACTTTTTGCAGGAGGGTAGATTTTTGCCACATATCTTACTTGTACATGCCGTGATCTCCAACATTCACAGGTCTATTAAGAGAAGACTGAAGGGAGGGCGATATTGTATCATTAAGCTTTGGTGGGGGGAGCTTACTTTATGCCAATAAAAAAGGTCCTTTAGTGGAAGGTATTAATAAACAAGTGGGAGATTTTGAAAAGGATGATTTCACTAGTGAAGTTTTAAAAGTTCTTCACCCATCCCTCTGTTTTCTGAACAGATCAGTGCATTGTGGATAACATCACTTACAACGTGAATGATACATTCCACAAGCGACATGAGGAGGGACACATGCTCAACTGTACCTGCTTTGGGCAGGGCAGGGGCCGGTGGAAGTGTGACCCCATTGGTAAATAGTCTCTTCTCCTGGGATAATTCTGGACATCAGGACTGGTTAACCAGTTTTGGGTCAGGAGAGCTGTTGGATGCTACACAACTGAGGGCTCCAGCCTCTGCTCAGCTGTTCCTAGCAAGCTCAGAAGTCTTTTCACTCATCATGAACCTATAGATAATGTTCATTGTGGTAATCATCTGCTTTTTGCTCGATTTGGCTACAAATGGAGGTTTAGTTTGATTGAATGGAGTTGATTTTTGGTTTTGAATCATAAAGTCAGTGCATGTTAGGAAAAGAAAATTTCCTTTACTTACTATGGGATAATGTGGGCAAAGGATTGTGCCAGTAAATACCTCCCTCCAAGACCCTGTATTTTGGGGCGGCCTTTCTTTGACAGCTGAGCAAAGGGTGGAGATTGAGCCCTGAAAGAGCTGTGGTACTAGCTCTCCAAATTTTAATGTAATCCATTAATCCTCCTTTACTGGAACAGGCTGGTCACCCACAGAGAAAACAAACTGATAACATGAGTTTGTTTGATCTGAGATTTTTGCCACAGCTGATAGGGATCCCGAGAGATTTGCTTAGCAACTGCACAGCAGGCATTCATAGTTAATATTTAGTTCATTCATTTACATTTAAATGTGCCCTTCCGAATTTCACAGAAATGTGTATGAAGTGAAATTGCTGCCATGTTTTTCCTCGTTCACTTGAAGTCAGTTGCACCGATATTGGTAAAAACTATCTAATTTTCCCCCACATTAATACTTAGATTATAATATATGCTGAAACCTTAATCTTTACATTTTTATTGAGAAACAACACCTTTTTCAGAAAATTAGATATTTTTCCCAATAGAGGCTTTTTTCCATTACTGATTATCCTGCAAGGTAAAGGGTGTGATCAGCTGTTTTCACTGCCTCTATTTGCGAGGACAGTTACAAATTTCTATTTTCATTTTGAGCATATGTGGTGTCATCAAAATATCTGGTGGATGTTTAAATTTTTTAAAAATTTATCATGGTAAAAGACTTTGTTGCTTTGTTAATCTCCCTCAAAATATTCCCCCTCATGTCAGACAAGCTTAGCATTCCGGTTGCTCTCTGGAGCACTTCTGAAAGAGCTCTTTCTCGGACGTCTTTAGTTGCGCTGTCCTGGCTGCTCTGGGGACAGAACCGATTTGAAACATGTGTGGCAATTTCTGTCCAATTAAAACAATATGGTGTGTCCTCCCCCGCCTTATTCACAGAATCGGGCACTGTCACTTCTGGCTGTTCCCTCAAGTGAAAGTGACCTGGAAAGGTGACTGTTTTTAATTGATTCAGGACATCAGGGCAGCCAGCACAGCACAGCTAAAGATGCTCATGGTTTGATCTCACTGTGCTGTCCTCGCCCTGCCCCCGGGGTGTGCTGAGACTGGGCATGGTGGCACACTCCTGTAATCCGAGCATTTGGGAGGCTGAAAATAGGAGGATCACTACAAGCCTGGTCTTTGTAGTGACGCTGTAGACCCTGTGCTAAATACAGATTAGTTTTTAATTTTTTTTTTTAAAAGGCTGCTCATGAAAAAAGACTTCCAGAACTGCTTCAGAAAAATGGCACAAATAAGGAGATAAGCGTGTTTGAAAGAAGGTAGAATATTTGGAGGGAGACAAATAAGGCAGTGTGTCTTTATTATAATACATTTTTTAAAAAAATTTAAGGGGCCTGCCCGTTAGCTCAGTTGTTTAAGTGACTGCTTAAACAAAGCAACCAGGATGCTGTGGTTCGATCCCCAGATCCGCAAGCCTCACCAGACCTGCCGTGAAGGCATCCTGAGCCAACCAAAAAAAAAAAAAAAATACTTCTGAACTTTTTAGGGGCTGGGGAGATGGCTCAGTGGAATAAGCGTTTCCCTGGCAAGTGCAAGGGTCTCAGTTCAATCCCTGGTTCTGAAAAAAGAAAAAAAAATGAATATTCCTTTTATTTTTCAATACAAACTTGTAATCTTTTAAAAAAAAAAGGGGGGGATTTGTAATCTAGCAAATTGAGTTAGTAGCTTTAAGTCTTCAAGGCTGTTCATCTTTTCTTTATGTATGTTCTAGATCAGTGCCAGGATTCAGAGTCCCGAACATTTTACCAAATCGGAGACTCCTGGGAGAAGTACGTGCATGGCGTCAGGTACCAGTGCTACTGCTATGGCCGCGGCATCGGGGAATGGCACTGCCAGCCTTTGCAGACCTACCCAGGTAAGCAGCTCTTAGCCTGCAGCTGTGTAGGTCACCAGAACAGGGCAGCCCCGGTGCTTGCTAACACTATGAATCCTAACTTGAGGACTCCCTCTGCTTCTGTCCTTTTATCAGATAGCACTCTACAGAAATGAAATGTCTGACTAAAAAGATTTTCCTTTTTTTTTTTTTTTAATGATTTTCCTTTCTCCTCCTCATCAGCTAAAAGGTACAGCATAGATGGCTGTGGAAAGGTACAGGTAGGTGCAGGTGTATAGCTTTGTTTCATACACTATACAACATTCCATTAGGGTAACGCGCTCTGGTTAGTTCTGTCTCACATCTGTCCATGGAAGTAGAAACCTTCAAGGGAATCACTAAGAGTAAAGGATTGAGGTTTTACTTTGTAATTCTTAACAGAGAAAAGAAGCAGCATGACATTGATTCACTCTGTCTTTTCTGTTCTGTTTGGGTCAGACTTATCACTTGTTTGATCATTTGCAATATGGAACAAAGTATCGGGGGCAAAAGTTGAGTAACCTGCTAAACTCTCCGCCTCCACAGTATAAACACACTCTGATGTTCGCTGCTGGGTTTTTCAGGTCATAAAGACATTGTGTAAGACATAAAACATTGTGTAGGTGTTGTTACTTATTTCTGGAATAAAAATTTAAAATAATTTCTGTGATTATAGTAAAATATTGAATTACAAAAGTCTATTTACTAAATATCAGTTATTCGAGTAACTATTGAAGTACGGAGTCTCCTAAACTGGCGCTAACTTTAGATGAGACAGCTAGAGCCTAGAGGCTTCCAAAGAAAGTCATTTTTTGTGTTTGTGATTGCTATTGATGTGGCATTTTGGAACATTATCTTCTGTGTGATTTAGTAATTTTCTTCTCTCTCTCTCTCTCTCTCTCTCTCTCTCTCTCTCTCCTTTTTTGTCTTTTTGCAGCAAGGTCTCGCTATGCAGTTCAAGAGTTCAAGCTTTCCTTGAGCTCACTCTGTAGCCCAGGCTGGTCTCAAACTCACAGCCATCCTCCTTCCTCAGCCTCCCGAGTGCTGGGATTACAGGCGTGCTGATCCTTTCCACATAGCTGTTTGCTAAAAGCATTGAGGGGAACTACAGAGAAAAATCTGGATGGGAAGGAGGTCTCCTGGTTGGAGTTTTGCCTCTTTACTGTGTTCTACCCTGTAGAAAGTGGGTAACAAGAAGGGCACAGTGAACACAGAAGAGAGGTAGGGCAGCAGGGCTGGCCTCTGGTGCTTTTCTGTATGTCTGGATTGCTCGGTAGGTCATGCTTAGCACACAGAGCTTTGAGACTATGGGGAGAAAAAAGGAGCAGCAGATTATTGGTTGTCTCTCAGCCTTGCCCTGTTTGTTCCTTATACAGAGGACTTGGTAGAGTTGCTCAAACTCACAGAAGATAAAAGGCATTTGGTTTGTCAATAAGCAACTAGAAAAGCAAAGACCTCAGCAAATTAGAGGAGGGAAGAAGGGACAGAGTCAAAATGTCAGTGTCAAATTAAATGTTTAATTTCTCCCGAGTTGCTCTTCCTGGATATTACTCATATTTTTAACCTCACTTTAAACTGATTTTCAAAACGTAGATATTGTATATCTTTTTTTTTTTTTTTTTTTCACGGAACAGGGGATTGAACTCAGGTCCTTGCGCTTGCTGGGGAAGCACGTATTCCACTGAGCCATCTCCCTGGCCCCTGTATCATATCTTTTCTTAACTATTGTCTGTTTGAAAATTTATATCAACTAATAGATATTGAAAGGGTTATCAAAATTTTTAACTGAGAATAGCAGCTCACACCTGTACTCCTGGCACTCAGGAGGCTGAGGCAGGAGAACTGTGAGTTGGAGGCCAGCCTGGGCTATATAGTGAGTTTAAACCTGCCCTGCACTCCATAATGGCAAGACCCTGTCTCAAAAGAAAAAAAAAAGTGATTCCAAAATTTTTAACTCTCCTCCATTATGTGTTGGAGTATAGTAATAGGAATTTAATTGATTTAACTAAAAACTGACAGTTCCTTTATTTCCTGGACAAAAATCCCATTGCTGGGCTGTGGAGATAGCTGAGGGGTCTAAGCGCCTGCCTGGCCAAGTGCAAGGACCCAGGTTCAATCCCTGGCACCACATGCCATGCTGACCCCTTTCCTGGCCATGCTGAGCAGGCCAGACTCCAGGCATGGTGGCGCTTGCCTGTAATCTCAGAGCTGGGGAGGCTGATACAGGGGGGTTACCACGAGTCAGAGCTGTGTAGTGAGACCCTGTACCAAATACATTTGTTTAAAAAAAATCCCATTGCTGCTCAGTGAAAGTTTCTTAAAGGCAGAAGGTGGCATAAGGTAAATTTGAAAAAATAGAATTTCAGGCCAGGGCACGAAGTCCTAGAAAGGAAGAGAATCTTTGCCTTTCCTCCTCTGGCTAGAGTAGAGCTATTGCAATAGCTTTTTCTTTTTCCCTCTCTTCTCCTTTGTCACCTTTTTCTTTGTGTCCTTGGGCATAGTGGAAGATGATTAGTCTTAAACATGAAAAGTAAAGGTCTTTTGTGTTGTTTTAACGCTTCACAGACATTTACCCTGGTGAACGTTTTTCTTCAACATCATAATTGATGCACTAAACTAAAATGGGTATCGAATGTCTCAAATCTGAAGAGACTATAGTAGGATTTCTTTAATGGGTCGATATGTAAACAAACTTATGTGGGCTTATCATAAATAATTTAAGGGCATGACATTTCTGTATTTACTGATTCATATTGAAGTACTTTATAGTCACATTTATACAATTGTGCTTGAGTATTTAAGAATTTATATTTTTGAGAATCTTCATGAACAGAAAGGGTTATTCAAGGGGCCAACTGAATTGACTTCTGCCAATCGATTAAAACAAATTTCCAGCATGCTCTATGAAATATATGCCATGTTAGAATGGAAAACTGAAGATTTTGTATATGAAGGTTAATATTCATGTGCCTTGAAAATACATTCACATTAAGTGAAGTTAAGATTAAAAAATATTTGTTAGTCTTTAACCAACTTTGAATTTTTACATGTGGAAGTGAGTGTATTATTCTAGAATTTTAGAGTCCATAGTTTGTCCAGTTCCATATTTGTTCTGCTAGAGATAACTTTGTTTCAAAGAGAACTTAAAAGCTAAGATAATAATTAAATTTGAAAAATCAATACTGTGTATCTTTTCTAAGAGCTTTTGGAAAACTTAAATCTGTTTATCCAGCAAAGTACTTTATTAAATACACAAAATTTTGTTTTGCTTGACCAGTAGGAAATTCTTGGAGAAGTTATCATTAGGAACTCTACCATTTTTAGCAAATTGAACATTGGCATTATGAAGAAGAGGGATTTAGAGAGTGATAGTTTTCTGTTCTATAAACATAGATTTTTCAGTGATGTTTCATTATTTTCCTAAATGGAGCCTACTGTATTAAGAAATTGATTTTTTTTAATTTTGCTTTTTTCTTAAAAACAAAAGAGATAAGTCTGCTTAAAATTTTGTTTTTCACAGCCACACATATTAGGAAGTGGAAATCGTGAATTTTATATACTTCTAATGCCATTTCAGTTGATAACTCCTTTTGAAAAAAAATTGATTTATTAGTAATTTGATAAATGGTTTAATTTTCGGGTATACACTTTGAATAAAAAGTGTAATGATTTATTTTCTCAAGCTGAGAGAATGCTTAGGCTGGTGAGAAATAAAGCCGTGTAATTATTATCTTTGTCTATTTGTCTAAGATTCTACCCTGTTTGGAAATGTGTTTGTTTTACCTCATGTTTCATGCCCTTTGGATTGTTGTTTCTTTCTGGTTTTTGAGACAGGGTCTTGCTATGTAGTTCTCACCTTGAACTCACCTGTATAGCCCAAGTTGGCCTTGAACTCATAGTGATCCTTCTACCTCAGCCTGCTGAGTGCTGGGATTACAGACGTGCACCTCCATGCCCGGCTGTTGTTTCCTTCTTAGATACTGGATTCATTTACAGGGAAAACTTCCATGAATTAGAATTTGCTTTAAAAGAAGGTTAATACAATCAGGATATGAAGTGTGAATGCTGAATTATGCTATTTGCATTAGAGCAGTTCTGCAATTGTTTCACAATTGTTACTATGAAAATAGAGAAGAAAGTAGGCTAAGAAACATTGAAAACATTTTTGTTATAAATAAATTCCATTTGTATTCTCATGTAAAGGACAATAATTATCAGCTGAAAAATGATGTGTTGTACTGATTTTTTTAATGCCAATATGTAAAAGGCTTAACCAAGCCTAGACAATTATAATACTATTTACTGATGAGCAAACTGTCTTTAAAAATAGCTGTCCATGCACATGAAATTTTAAATTAGAGTGAGTGAATAGTCAAGATAACCAAATCCCACATTGTCATTTTCAGGCTCAAGTGGTCCTGTCCAAGTAATCATCACTGAGACCCCCAGCCAGCCCAACTCTCACCCCATCCAGTGGAACGTACCAGAACAGTCACACATCACTCAGTATGTGCTCAGGTGGAGACCTGTAAGTGTTCCCCAAAACCTTGGATACCAGGTCTCCTGATCTTAGCAAATCTTGATGTGTTTTGTTGTCAGTTTCTGCTTTAGAGTCCACCGATCTGATTGTCAGGCAATATTTATCTTTTCTTTGGTGACTAATTAATACATAGTCAATCAAACTGCATATAGATTAGACTTTTGTGATAGAAGAAATTGATCTTTAGGAAGGTTTTATTAGGGGACTTAGAAATGATAGTTTAGTATTATTCTCACCCAATGTAGAATAGAATCAAATTGTTGTGTGCTTTATAGTTGCATTACTACTGGTATTATTTCCGTAGATTAATTGTTTTCCCTTTGATTCTCTGTTTTAAGGAATTGTTTTTCAAACCTTTACTTTTGATTCTTTAAATAAATTTAAATGGAAGGGAGAGAGGTGGTGAAGTGCAGGATAGTTGGGTTATTTACAGAATGAGTTTATGGGACCTGGGAGACAGCTCAGTTGCATAAGTACCTGCTTGGCAAGCACAAGGTCCTGAGTTTGATCCCCGGTACCCACGCCCTCCCACCCCCCCAAAAAGAATGAGTCTATGATTTTATAAGTGTCCAGAAATTAAGGAAAACATACCAAGGAGGATATTGGTCTATTAAGCATTAGTATTAGTTTTTCTTACATTTGCAAACCTGTCCTCTATTAACTCCAAGGCTGACATGATTTGAGAAGCACTATCTTAAACTCAGGAGAAAAATGTCTATTTTAAATAAGACTACTGAACTACAAGTAATTAAAAAAAATTTTGACTGACTGATACATGTGAGTTTAAACTTGACAGGAATAATTTAAGCTGTTATAGTATTTTCCTTCTTTCATCTTCTTCCCTAATCTCCCGGTATACAAAGTAGTCCATTGCAAAACTTGGTATCTGCCAAAACTTGTCAGTGGAATCAGCCTTTTTCCTTTTGATCATCTTTTTTCTCATCCTTACATCTCACTGCCAATGTTATTTTAAACTTGACTCTATAAAGTATTATGTGTGACCACTAGGGGACATTTATAAGCAGATATAAAATGGATATTAAATTGGAAAAATCATCAAAGAGTAGCAGTCATAAATTCCTTGGAAGTGTTTAACAATTAAAATTTTTCAGCCCTTTTCCTCATGTGTGCCACTTGAATTTAATTTCCGGCATTTCTCTTCTGATAGCTCACATTGGATAAAAGTTATCAATAATTTAAAGGGAATTGTAATGACTGACTACAAATTTTCCACAGTGTAGTTGGGTGAAAATTTAAATTTAAAGAGTACTAGGATCATTTTCATTTATCTACAAAATGTAAATAGACACCCGAGCATTTGAATTATTGAGAAGCTAGTTTAGTGGGTCATTTTAAAAATGACTGGGCATGAAAATATATTTTGATACTTAGTATTTAGAATTTTTACACTTAAAAGGATTTCATCTTGTTTGAAGTTAGAGTGTTTCTTCTCCACACATTCTATTACAATGAGTTTTGTGATCTGTGGCATATTAATGAAGCTGGACAGGATATGAAAATGTAAACTGGAAGCAAAAGATGAAATAAACTGAAATTACATTCTTCTATAGTCTTGCCCAAAGTTGGCTAACCATTCCTGATGGGGTAGTTTTTATCCCAGAATGAGACACAAAACCAGAGCACTTGAAACTCTTTTGCAATGACCCCGGAATATGAGTCCCAAAACACTGTTATGCCTTTGGATGTCCCTACAAGACATGAAACTTGAATTGCATCCCACCAAGTTGAAAACTAGAAATATGGCCTTGGCCCATTTTAGAGTGGAACATATCTTTATTCATTATAAAAATGAAAAACAAATGGAAAAGATGAAATTTAGGAACATCATTATGTTACTGATATTGAGTAACCAGCCTCACCAGAGGGTTGGCTCTCAGCACCTGTGGGCCTGCAGCCTCCAGGATGCCACTTTACAAAGGGAGCAATAATACAATTCTCTCTGGGGATGAGGTAAGGGATGAAGACTGGAGATAATTCAGACAAAATGCCAGAGAGCGTACAGAGCACATGGTAAATGATCAATAAATGTTAACTTCTATATACCTATAAATAATAGTAATTATTAATATCAATAAACTCAGCTACTGGTTCCTATACTGATTTCAGTTCCCCATGATTTTCCTCCAGAATGAAGCTGCAGAAGGCTTTCATCCTACTTTAGAGATCACTGAACATTGTCTCTAAATGTTCCTCCTCATAAAGTCTTACATGATATTTTTTTTAATCTAAATTTTCAGAAAAATTCTGTAGGCCATTGGAAGGAAGCTACCATTCCAGGTCACTTGAACTCGTACACCATCAAAGGCCTCACCCCAGGCGTGGTCTATGAGGGCCAGCTCATCAGCTACCAGCAGTATGGCCAGAGAGAGGTGACTCGCTTCGACTTCACCACCAGCGCCAGCACTCCTGTGACCAGTACGTACCCACTCCCTCTGGTCTGCGCCTGCCATTGTTCAACCTTGGGCTGCTTTCCCTCACCTTCTCCATTTGTTTCCTGCCACAAATGGCACCTGCTTTTAAAAATAATAGCACTCAGCAGACAAGGATGGTGAGATCTCTGAAGGCTTGTTTTCTGCTTTCTGTGGCACTCTAGGCAACACCGTGACAGGAGAGTCAACCCCGCTTTCTCCTGTTGTGGCCACTTCAGAATCTGTGACTGAAATCACAGCCAGCAGCTTCGTGGTCTCATGGGTCTCAGCTTCGGACACTGTATCTGGATTCCGGGTGGAGTATGAGCTGAGTGAGGAGGGAGATGAACCGCAGTACCTGGGTGAGCTGGCTGTGGGGCTCTGAACGGGTTTGGAAGAGCTGTTGGAGGAAGACAACCAGGCAGGAGGTCTCTGGAGCTAATCCACAGCCCCCATGGAACACAGCTTCCTTCAGTAAAAGGAAGGGAGGACCTGACCCTTTATAGAACTGATAGGTTCCCCTGAGCACCCTCACCTTGTCCTGCTCTGGATGTGAGGTGCTCTATTCATCTACCTAGGCAGAGGCCCTTGTAACAAAAGCTACTGTTTTCATGGAGCTAATTGGCAGGATAAAGAAGTGAGGCTGATCGATGACAGCTTTTAAAGATGCTCAGGACCTTCCTGTTTACTTCTCAGATTCTCATGCTTCATTTCAAATGGACATAGCAGGGCATACCCAGCACTTAGGAGGCTGAGGCAGGAGGACTGCCACAAGTTCAAAACCAGTCTGAACTTCATGTGAGACCCTGTCTTAAAGAAAAAAAAGGTTTACTGGCCAAAGCCATGTGATCAACATCCCAATCAAGAAAAGAATATCCCTCTTATCCCCACCCTCATCCCTCTGCCTACCACTAGTACCCTAACTTCAAACCCCAGAGAGCTATTTTTTAAATTTGGAGGTAGATTATAAAAGTTACGCATCTTCAGAGAAAACAACTTGAAAAATAAAAAAGAAATAGCCCATACTACGTTGATAATTATTGCTTTACTCCACTAGTACATTTCCTTTTAGTCTCTCTTCTCCCTCTGGGTATGTAGTTCTTCTCAAATGTTACAGAGGCAGCGATTGTAACCTTTCCTTTTTATTTCAAAGATCTTCCAAGCACAGCCACTTCTGTGAACATCCCTGACCTGCTTCCTGGCCGCAAGTATATTGTCAACGTCTATCAGATATCTGAGGAAGGGAAGCAGAGCTTGATCCTGTCCACTTCACAGACAACGGGTAGGTGTGCTCTCCAGGGTGGCGGGGAATCTTTAAACTGTAGGCCTGGACTAACGTTGTTTACCTCACTTCCTTTCTTTTCCAGCTCCTGATGCCCCACCCAATCCTACCGTGGACCAAGTGGACGACACCTCCATTGTGGTTCGATGGAGCAGACCCCAGGCACCCATCACAGGTCAGCTTCGCCTCGATGTTGGCTGCTGTGTTGATTTATCTGCCAACTCACAGAGGGTTGGGGGAGGGGGCAGATTCTGACTAGGGACTCAATATATTACTTAAAGTCTCCCACATAATTACTAGAGATTCATGTGTGTTTTTGGAAACACACACACACACACACACACACACACACACCTTGTATGTAACATACACATGTAACCAATAAAGACAGCAAGCAACAAGCCTTTTCCTGTGGTTGCAGAGGTAAAATAATTCTGGATAGTTCTCAACACTGAAGTTGCTAAAAGATGCAAACAGTGCTAGACAACTGTGCTCAGGCTGGTTTGTTAATTGCCACCATCATCCACAACTCAGGAGAAGCTAGCTTAGCATGAATATTTTCACCTAAAGGGTATTCTAACTGACAATTTCTAAGGATCTCAAGTTTTTATTACCACCTTTATTATTAAAAACACTTGCATGGCTGTTCTTATTTTGTCTTTGTGCTGAATAGTCATTATTATAAGAAGTCTTAGCATAGAAAGAGGCCAAAAAAGTCTTGCTAATTCTTAACTAATCAAGTGAGATGCTAAGGGCTATTGGAAAGGGACAATTTTGTGAATTTTTCAGGCAGTGTTTCATCAAACAATGAAATATTTTTCTCACGAATCTGCAGGATACAGAATAGTGTATTCACCATCAGTAGAAGGCAGCAGCACAGAACTCAACCTGCCCGAAACTGCCAACTCCGTCACTCTCAGTGACTTGCAGCCTGGCATTCAGTATAACATCACTATCTATGCTGTGGAAGAAAACCAGGAAAGCACTCCCGTGTTCATCCAGCAAGAGACGACTGGAGTTCCACGTTCAGGTAGCGTGAAGACACTTCTCTGTTGTCTTATCCCTTAAGCTGGACCAAATGACATCTTAAGCATCCTATGGGAGAACAAAGCCTGTGGACTGGGTTTAGCCTCCTGAGAGGACTGGGGATTGCAGACCAAAATCAATTGTCCCCAAGAGAGAGCATTATTATGGCTCTGTCCCCAGTTCCTACATTCAAGCAATTTATATACTCCATTTGCCCTAAACTTAATGGTGTTCAGCTGAAATATCCATGTTATAAACTATTGGCCTTTGGTTAAAAAATTTAACACCATCAGGCCTTCTTATTTTTCCCTAGAACATTAAGAGTCATTTCATCTGTTGTTCTTATATATGATAAAATGATTCAGTAAAACAAAGCCACCATTTTTTTGTGTAGTTACCTTAAAGGTGTCTTTTTAAAAAATGTATGTTTATTTTAAATTTCCATCCCAAACTGATACTTCTAATGCTGGAAACTAATATGGTTACCTATGAATTTTACAAAAGCTTTGATGTAGGGCCAGCGAGATAGCTCAGTGGACTAAAGTGCCTGCTTAGGCAAGCGCAGGGACCGCAGTTCAATCCCTAGCACCACGTGCCACACCAGCCCCACCCCCTGGCGGGTTGAGCCAATCACAAAGTCCAGGCGTGGTGGCGCACACTTGAAATCCCAGTGCTGGGGATGCTGAAAACAGGAGGATCACTATGAGTCCAAGCTGCATAGTGAGACCCTGTAACAAACAAGTGCATTAAAAAAGAAAAAAAAAAAGCTTTAACGTAAGTGGTGTGATTCAACCACAAAAATGTGTGCAAGAAAACATCTAGTTTAGAAATAAAACTTACCATTGCTTTAGAATGAGTGACTCTATGGAGTGCCAGGAAACATTTTTTTTTTTAATAATCTTTAGTAGGAGGGATGGCCTGAGAGCTCAGTGGACTAAAGTGCCTGCTTAAGCAGAGCACAGTGGCCGGGGTTCAATTCCTGGCCTGCCGTGCTGGCCCCGCCCCCTGGGGCACACTGAGATGGTGATTAAGACTGGGCATGGTGGCACACATCTGTAATCCCAGCACTTGGGAGGCTGGAACAGGAGGATCACTACAAGTCAATCTATGTAGTGTAGTGAGACCCTGTAGACCCTGTAGACTCTGTCCTAAGTACAGAAAAGGGAAACAAAATTATAATCTTGAGTAGGAATTGTGATTGATCAACTGTCGCTTTGTTTCTTGTCTTTTAGATAAAGTTGCCCCTCCTAGGGACCTGCAGTTCGTGGAAGTGACAGACGTGAAGGTCACCATCATGTGGACTCCTCCTGAGAGTGCTGTGACCGGCTACCGTGTAGAGGTGCTCCCTGTGAACCTGCCTGGAGAGCATGGCCAGAGGCTGCCCGTGGGCAGGAACACCTTTGCGGAAGTGACCGGCCTGTCCCCTGGGGTCACCTATTACTTCAAAGTCTTCGCTGTGAACCACGGGAGGGAAAGCAGGCCTCTGACTGCACAACAGACGACCAGTACGTCCTATCCTGCCACCACCACCCCAAACCCTCCCTGCTCCACACTCAGGTTAAACTGGCGTGAAGTGCCACGTGCCGTTCACTCCTGCTACCTTTTTTGACTCCAAAGGCCAAGCTCTCAATTATTATGCCTGACTGTATCTTAAAGATTTCTTCTGTCTGAAAATTGCTTTAAAAGTCTGTGAGGAAACTGCTAGCCATCATATTCAATTAGACCATTCTTCCTGATAGTACAGACTCGCCAGTGTCCTTCCCTGAAGTTGAGGTTCCTGAGTATGTGTTCTAGTGAGTGTATTTCTTGTCTAATCTGAGCCATGTGAAAATCTTTCATTTTTCCCTGAAAGGACTATTCGTTCAGTAAATATATAGAATGTTGCTTTTGATCTATATGGAATTTTCTTCTTGCCTTCATGTTTTGGGGCTTCTATCCCCCTTAACCGTTTTTACTCAAAACAACAAACTGTGGGGTTCACAGGTATTTGTTTTACCTTTTTAAAAGATACCATCATTATGATGTAAGTATAATTTCTGGGGGTGAGGAGAAAATCTTTTTGGAAAATTAAGACTTTCCAAAGCAGGACAGTCCAGTGAAGAAGGTCAGCAATTCCTCATGACTGACATACCGCTTTGGCAAAGTTTTGTGTAGCATGCTTTTAAAGGCTCAGTTTTTCCAGGGTTTGGATTTTTATTTTAATTTCAACTTTGAGAAGAGGAAACTTAAGCTAGTTAATCTAGCTTTAGGATTTCAATACAATTGCTATTGACCTAAATATTTCTTAAAATATGTTATTTTATCTTCTAGAACTGGATGCTCCTACTAACCTCCAGTTTACCAATGAAACTGACACAACTGTTCTGGTCATTTGGACTCCACCTCGGGCCCAGATTACAGGCTACCGGCTGACCTTGGGCCTGACCCGAGGTGGACAGCCCAAGCAGTACAATGTGGGGCCCGCTGCCTCCAAGTACCCACTGCGGAACCTGCAGCCTGGATCGGAGTACACTGTGTCCCTCGTGGCTATGAAAGGCAACCAGCAGAGCCCCAAAGCCACTGGAGTCTTCACTACTCGTAAGCTGAAACTTAAATGTCTTTCGTAAATGGTAGGATAGGTTCTAACTATATTTATGTTCTCTATTTTGTTTTTTTACAAATTAACTTTAAAAACTCAGCACATAATTTAAAGCAACACTACTGAAAGAACTCACCATGTGAGGAATGGTTGCTGGCCTATAAATTATTTGACCTTGATCTGCAGTAGCCTAGAAGCCTGTGCCAGAATGTAAATCAGAAAGCATGGTGTCTAGCCTATTTGCTTTTTTGAAGCAATGTTTTCTTGATGAGGGCTGGGGGTGTGGTTCAGTGCTTGCCTAGTGTGGGTGAGACCCTGGGTTTGATTTTTTGGCACTGAAAAAAAAAAAAAAAACGATTATTGGTAATGGAAGAAGTTTGTCAATTTGCATACATTGCCAGCCTCCTTTATTTTTTCCCCTGGGACAGCACTTTAAGGACCAAGGGTGAAAGTCTCCTGTTATGGGAAAAATTGAGTTCTATCATATAAAATAAATTTGCCAAATATTAGCTGAGACAAGAGACCAGCCCTTGTGTCCTGTGCCATTACTTTGGGCATTGCATGATTGCTGCACGCAAATGCAGAAAGCTACAGATTAGATACCAATAGTAGATTGCAAAGCTAAGCACCATGACTTTTAAAAGAGTTGGCTGCAGAAAATTAAAATACTTCTACAGAACAGACTCTCCTCTCCCTCTTTTGCTTTTTTCTTTCTTTTCTTTCTTTTTAAAACTCTTAAAATTCCAGAGAAGAAAAATACTAACGTAATTTTTGGTCATGTCTATTTTTTTGCTCAACATTTTAAGGGAACAGGTCTTAAATCTTCTACATATCTACATCACAATAAAGGCCTTCTACTCACAAGATGATTTCTATTAAGAACATTCCATTTACATTACAAAGAATTATGAGACTTCTTATTTTTACTGAACATTACATTATTTTTCAACTTGACATTCTGAATTATGGAAGCACCTAACATAAGCACTTTTTTGGCATATATTACAACCCTGTACTAGTTTGTAAGTTTCCAACCACTTTCAACAAATCTTCTTTGACTAATTTGAAAATCTAGATATTCAAAAGCATTCAAAAAGTCAAGACAAGCTCCGTTTTTAAATAAATATGAAATTTATTTCCCAAAGAAAGTTCTTTCAAGCTTTTTTCCATACGAATCCATGACTTACCAAAGGCTTACTTGCTTGTATATTTGGTGTATGAGGTTCGGCCAGTGAAACGCTTTTCCTTAAGTAACTGTTAATCATAAGCAAGTGAAATCTGCTTTTAATTTGCAAGGAAGTTTGTCTTAAAATTCTTCTATTTTATATTACATGGTTTCTGAGAGAGTCTAAAATCTAGTCTTATGAAATTAATGTCTTTGCATTTCTTGTAAACAGTCTATTTTGCACAGACGCTCTTCATTGGATTAAAGATTTCAATGCATGTTACTTTCTCTTGCAACAGTGAATTCAAAGGGCCAGCCAAATAGTTCAACTGATTAAAGTGCCTGCAAGGAAGCACAGGGGCTGGGGATTTGATCCCCCGGCCTGCTGTTCAGGCCCCACCCCTGGGGCGCACTGAGAAGGCAATTGAGACTGAGCGTGGTGGCACGTGCCTGTAATCCCAGCTCTTGGGACGCTGTAAACAGGTGGATCACTACAAGTTCAATATAGTAGTGAGACCCTGAACACCCTGTAGACCCTTCCCTAAAATACAGAAAAGAAACGAAAAAGAAAAAAAGGAGAGAATTCAGTAGAGTGGGAACAGGGTACCTGAAATTGAACTCAGGACCTGGCTCTTGCCAGAGATGTTTTATACTGAAATATAAAAGCTATAGAGTTGTCCTTTTTAGTCTTTAGCGTAAGGCATATTTTATGTAGTTTTTGTGGAATAGAGTGCCTATAAAAGAAAAATAAGTAAATGAGAAAATAGGTAAGTATAGGGTATTTCCAACATTTTGGGGCACTTTGGTATACATAATGTATATGTCATTAGATATTTATATGTACTTATAATAAATAAAATTTATAAGTACTTATATGAAATATTATACTTGATTTAAAGTATAATACTAAAAGTAATTTTATTAAAGTTTAGTTAACATAGTTCAAAAACATTTGTTGAATAGATGACTTATTGAGGAACGCATAATAACGAAAACAGCTCCACCAAGCTGAGATGTAAATAAACCAACTGAAACTAGGAGTTCTGCAACTTCCTGTGAAACTATAGTACTCCCCAAGGTTCTAAACATCAGCAGGGCTTGCATGTTTTTAAAATTACTTGTAAGTTTCCGCAGTGGTTTTTTTTTTTTTGTTTTTTTTTTGTTTTTTTTTTTTTTTTTTTTTTTTTTTTTTTTTTATTAAACTGAATCCTGGGAATAATGTTTCTCAGTTTTACAACTTGTGCTAAATTCTTAGTAGCAAAGGTGAGAAAAGTACTGAGAAGAGCCTACTCCTTTATTAAAAGGCCTATTTTATTTCTTTCCCAGCTAGGCTGTTCTTCACCTAGCAAGACCTGCCAGAACCCATAACTCAGACTTACAGTCACATTCTTTATTTGACATTGGCTGGTGGGTTTGTGGCTTGGTCATTTTCCTGGGATGGCCTTCCCAGACAGAGAGTATCGTCTTAGCTGGCTGACTCAAGCAGTAGAAAAGACCCCGTCTCCAAGCCCAGGACATTTCGGGAGAAGTGATTTGTGAAAACGTTGTGGCTCTCACAAATGCCCATTGAAAGAAATTGACTGTTCACTGAATTGTTTCTTGTGGGCCACTAAAAATGATCACCCAGGGCTGTCCTGGGCATTCGACAAAATCAGCAGCAGCAGAGTGGTATATTATGATTCCAGAGACAATGAAAGTCACCATGGTTGACTGCCTATAGTTTCCCAAGTGCCATCAAAATAATATTAAAACAACTCACTAAACCAGTATTACCTCAGTTCATTCATTAAAGTGATCTCTGTAGGGCTGAGGATTTTGCTCAGTGGCACCATGCGTGCCTGGCAAGCATGAAGTCCTGAGTTCAATTCCCAGTACCCCTCCTCCAAATAAATAAATAAAATGAAGTGGTCACTACAAAGTGGCCAACTTTTTCCCATGCAGTACTTTAAAAATAAAAGTAAGAAATGAGATATTCAAATCCAGAGTGAGAATAGGAAAAATTGCAATGTTGGGTCTAAATTCCCTGGTGGCCTGGAAGAAAAAATTGACTGGAACTGAACAGAGACTGGAGTCTGAAGATGTTTCAATCTCTGTGTATCTCTGAAGGATAACTCTCGACTCACTAGTCATTCATAATTTAGTATAAATGTGTTCAGTGTCCCCTGCCCCAGTGGGAACAGTTGGGTTTAGATATACAAAGGAAGGAACTGTGACGGCATTAGCCAGGGCTATGAAACCCTTGAATTTATTTCACTCAACACAAATGTTTTGGTTTCTGAGGCCTCATCTTTCTAAATTTATAGTATGATTTGCAAGGCTGTTGGGTCTGTGTCTGAACTCTGTGTGTACTGGAACTTCTTTTTTTCTTTTAAATAATATTTTCATTAAGAGAAATAACAGTGATGTTAGGACACCAGATTCAAAAGAAACTTGTGTTGTGATTCCAAATTCTAATGGGTAGAATATTAAATTTCTGCAGTATTATTCTGAATGAATGATCAAATAGGAATAGATCTTTAGAATTTAAAATGCACTGGTGGCTACAAATTTCTTTCAACTTTGAAGAGGCATTTCTTACTGTAACCAAAAAGTACTGGTCATAATCATGGAATAGTTCAGCATAGAGATATTTTTAGATCACATTTATAATTTCACCATTGTCCTTAGTGATTAAAAAACAAAAAAATCATCACTTTTGTGGTAACCCTTTGCATTTTCTCTTTCTTTCTTTCTTTCTTTCTTTCTTTCTTTCTTTCTTTCTTTCTTTCTTTCTTTCTTTTTTTTTTTTTTCCCAGTGTATTCAGTACAGGGCCTACAGGGTCTCATTACACAGATCGGACTAGTAGTAATCCTCCTGCTTTTAGCCTCCCAAGCACTGGAATTATAGGTGCACTCCACCACACCCAGTGTTAGTTGCCATCTCAGCCTGCCTCGGGGGACAGGGCTGGCCCTGCACACCAGGATTGAACTCCGGTCCCTGCGCTTTGCGAAGCAGGCCCTTTAGCCTGCTGAGCTATTTGGCCAGCCCCCTCCAGTTGCATTTTCTTTTTCTTTTTTTTTTTTTTTGGCGGAACCGGGAATTGAACTCAGGCCCTTGTGCTTGCCAGGGAAGTGCTTATTCCGCTGAGCCATCTCCCCGGCCCTCCAGGTGCATTTTCATAAAAAATTTTATGCTGATGATATAGTCGCCCCAAAACTCAAATCCCAACAATGATGAAAGGAGACAAACTATAAAATTCATGGAGTTAAAAGGTTTTTTCTGTGAGGTCAGTAGTCCTTTGTTTTACTTAAGTATAACTTACAGACCAGAATTGGGGTTCTCTGTCAGTATTTCAAAAACACAAACTCCCATCCCTATGCTAGACCTCTGGGTTGAATACTTATATTTTCACCAGGTCTTAGATAATTTGTGCGGCACCTCAACATTGAGGAGTTCTGACGTCTCTACCTTCTCACCCAGTGAAGAAACACAGGTTACATTGTCCACCTGAGTGATTAAATGAGGTTCTCAGTTAACATACTGGTTTGCTGCAATCAGGTGTGGTGATTACATTCATTGGTTCATTTCAGTGCAGCCTGGGAGCTCCATTCCCCCTTACAACACAGAGGTGACCGAGACCACAATAGTGATCACCTGGACCCCTGCTCCAAGAATCGGTTTTAAGGTAAATTGCAGATTTTTCTGATGTCATCTGATGAAAATCTGAAGCACCCTCTTATTTTTGCATGTGGTAGAAATAAGATATCTGGGGGCAGGAGGCTGGGTTGGGTTGCTTTTTGCACACTCTGCGGCAGGCTTACTTGGGGCGATCCTCTCTCCCAGGAGGCTAAGTGCGCCAGTGTCAGGCTTTGCTTCCAGGTGCAAGTTAGTGGATGCACTGCACTTGTGCCTTATTTACCCTTCTGAGTTGCTAGAGGATAGGCCAAGGCTGTGAAGAAAAGATCAGCTTAGCATGGAGCTGTTATTTGTTCACGTTACTTCACTTTCTCTTTTCCCCCCAGGGAATCACTTCTAAAAAATTATAGAAAAGCACCATTTGATGTGTTGTTCTAAGTGGGTGCCAAGGGGTTCCCAAGAGCCATTTGAGGGAGACCAATTAAATTCAGAGTCACTTAAAAAATCACATTTTTATCCAGTCAGTTTCATCTCAACTTATTCAAAGCCCTGAAGGGAAATCTCTTAATAGAAGTTGAGATTGAGCTATTCCTCATAGATATCTAGATTTACATTCTTTAAAGTAATGATATTAAGGAAGTGATAAATGCAAATGGATAGGTTTAAAAGAACTCCTTTCCTTAGTATGTAGAGTATGAAGAGAAAATTACTTATTGTGACTGCAAACCAAGACATGATCTCCATGATTTCAAAAGAAGTAGACCAAAGACCACTTCCTTTTAAGTAGGCAACTGCTCAAAATGAAGATTATGCTACTCTAAATATAGAGAACACTTTTTGAGGATTGCTAGTATTGGGTTTCTCTAAACGGTATCAAACCTCACTTTCAGAAGCCATATAATACATAAGGATTTCTGGAGATAGTTGAATACTCTGATATACAATGTTACATAGGGGTTTTTGAAATAGAATTTTAGAAGATTTAAAACTAAGGGTACTTTCACTGTGATCCTTATTTTGTAGCTTATTATCCTGCAATTGAAGCTGTGAACACATTCATAAATGTACTGTTGGTTTTTTTTTTTTTTTTCAATGCAAGGTGTTAATGGGGTGGTATTTTTAAATGGCAACTAAGAAAGTGAATTGAATGGGAATAACTCATTAAAGAGATAGCATATGGAATTGCTTCTAACACAAAGAAAATAGAAATCAACTGCTATGTGATCCAAAGTCCTTGTGTACTTCTTTGTTCTAAGAGGTTTTTTTTTTAATTGAGCAAAACAGTATATAATGACATTTCTCTGAAATCCTCCATTGAAAACCAACTAATGCTGTTCTGAAGAAATATCTTGGCCACTCTGGCTCCCCATTACTAGAAATTTCCAGTGAATGTGTAAAGCAGGGTAAAGTTAGTCATTCTTTAGCAAAAGTACACTCTGCATTTCCTAGGAATTCACATTACAGGAAATGTAAGTACAACCTGTCAGCAGTAATTCAGCTTTGGAAATATTTGTCCTGGGTGTTCATTTTGCTTTCCTCCTTCCAGCTGGGTGTACGACCAAGCCAGGGAGGTGAGGCTCCACGAGAAGTGACTTCAGACTCAGGAAGCATTGTTGTGTCTGGCTTGACTCCAGGTGTAGAGTACGTTTACACCATCCAAGTCCTGAGAGACGGGAAAGAGAGGGATGCACCAATCGTGAACAGAGTGGTGACGCGTAAGAGGCGTTCCTGTATCTTTCTTAATTTTATTTTAGTTTGTAAAACCGTTTTACTTTCTGAAAAGTATAATATCAATGTCACTGTTTGCTTATGAGAAGGATATGGGTCAGAAATTCCTCTCCTACCAATTAGCGATGTCAAAATTCACAGTAGCAAGTTTAACTCATGTAATATATACTATTGCCAGTGACGGCAAACCGTTTAAAGCTTTCAGTGGTAACAAATAGCCCATTGCAGTCCGCATGTCATAGGTTCACCACCACTGTACTATACCATCAGAAGTGTTCCTTCCACTAAGAATATGAACTGGCCAAGTGGAAGTGATTTCAGTATTACAAAGTCATGAATCCTAAAAAAAAAAAAAAAAAAAAAAAGACTCCATGAGATAATTATTGTCTACAATGCTAGTGTAGTATAATTTCTTTATTTGTACTGATTCAGGGAAGAAGGGATACAGAGATGGAAGAGGGAGAAAGGAAAGGTTGAAGGAGAAAGAGAAGGAAAGAAGGGGGGAGAAAAAAGAAAAGAAAAAAAGACATTCCTCAAGCTGAGCTGTTTACATTGTAATTACCAATTATCTTTCCATGTAGCATTGTCTCCACCCACGAACTTGCACCTGGAGGCAAACCCTGACACTGGTGTGCTTACAGTCTCCTGGGAGAGGAGCACCAGCCCAGGTAAGTCTGGGACAGGTGGGGAGCAGGGATGCACAACACCTTCCCAAGATGGATATTTCAGAAACTGTTCCTTTCAGCGAGGGAGGGGTCCCAAAGATAGGGTTCAAGTGACAACTGTCCATGAAAAATGCAGAAGCACGTAAAAGTACATCATAGAGTAACGGGTGGCATGTTCTAAGGCATGTTTCCTAAAGTCACAGGAAAGAAAACAATTCTACACTAGGCTTGGGAAATGGCAGATGTTTATACAGCTGAAGGAATTCACAAGGCTGGGGAAAAGGATTTGGGAAGATGCCCTTTGTTTAGTGCATTAATAATTGCCATATATAAGGGGCAATGACAAGGACAAAGTCTGTACAGGTTCAATACAGATAAAATCTGTAAAAAAAACCAAAAAGTGTTTTAGTCTACATTCGCCAAATGCATGCAGGAAACCAAGGCTGTCTGAATGGCATCCCAGAAATGTAAGGGAGATAAATGGCAGAAACGGCCTTCGTTTTATTTATTTATTTATTTACTTTTTATTTTTATTTTTTGGTCTTTTTGAGATAGGGCCTTGCTATGCCCTATGTTCAGGCTGGCCTTGAGCTCACTTTATAGCCCAGGCTGGCCTTGAGCTTGCAGTGATCCTCCTGCTTCAGCCTCCTGAGTTTCTGGGATTACAGGTGTTCACTGCCACGCCTGGCTGCCTGAGCTGTACAGGTCGAATAGACCAATGAGATTCCGAAAAACTGACCTGCCGATGGACCATATTCTCTGCTTTGTGTTGTTTGCCGTGCTGGGATGGAAGCCAGGGCCTCCCGCACGCCAGGTTCTTTGGGCTGCATCCCTAATGCCACACATTGTAACAATTATGGAATTGGGATCTAACCTTTTACACTCCTTCTCACACCCTGTACCTCTTATTGGGAATTTTACTGTTACTTTTTTGGGGTTTTTTCACTGATACTCAATACTGAGAAGTTTGATTCACAACTTTCATGACTATTTTTAAATGCTTAAAGATATTTAAATATTTAGAAGCTGTTGTCTAAACTCATTCAAACAGATTGATTGAAAATATATAAAATCCTAAAGCAGATAAAATCTAGTTATGGCAATATTTAAATAGCATGATGTATAATGGCAATGACAGAAAATTTTGATATTTTTGGTTATCTAAACCAAACCACATCAAAGTGTCTTTAAATGAAAGGTGTTAACTTGTATGTAACTATATTATTTCACATTGGAGAAATTGCTGTTGAGGTGTCCCCGCATTTATTACGGAGGAAATTCTAAATTAAACCAAATAGAGGGCCTGGGGAGATGGCTCGACCGTCTAAGCATCTGCCTGGGAAGCACAAGCCGGGTTTGATCCCTGGTTCCACGTGTCATGCTGGTCCTAGAATCCCAGGCAGGTCCTGAAATCCCAGTTACACTGTGCCAACCCTGAAACTGGGTATGGTAGCGCATGCCTATAATCCCAGCACTGCGGAGGCTAAGACAGGAGGATCACTACAAGTCCAAGCTGTGTAGTGAGACCCTGTACCAATAAAAGAAAGAGAAAGAAAGAAAGAAAACTTTAAAGAAATTTTAACTCATGTTGAGTTCATATTTGCTTGCTTTACTTGTAAATTTGAGACATACATTTAATAATTTAAATATTTTTAATTTTACCATTAAAGCTTTTGTAAAACTTTTTGTCTTCTAATATTCTTACTTTTGCAGATGGGGCAGTAATCTTTTTAATCTGATTAGTCAGTGTAGAGTCATAGGAAACCCACTCAACATACACTTTTTAGTTTTTTCCTGAAGTAGAAGGATTTCAGGGAAGTTCTTAATATTTGTAGAAACATAATTAAGCCTAAAGGATGCCATTTCCGGCAGAGTTACTCTGACTTTTTGGAACTGGCAAGTTTCTTGCTTGCTGGCAACTGAATCATCCATATCCAGTCTTAAGAGCCTGGCCCGCCCTTCAAGTGACCACTGACAACTGCATGACCTAAATAGTTGTCTGCAGTTCAGTTGGATATCTTGTGTAAACCACTTCAGTGTTCACTTCATTCCTAATGGCAAAATATACCATCATTTCCATGTTTGTCCTGTAGTAAGTTTAGTATCATTATACTTTCTTAATTTTACTTTTAACCTGGCCTATAGATCTCCAGTCTTTAAATATTTGAATGTGTCTGGCCTCTTCAACCTCTCTATTGTTCATGATTCTTGAAGGCTTAAAAATGAATATTCTTAGGGCCGGCCACATAGCTCAGCAGATTAAAGTGCCTGCCTAGGCAAATGCAGGGACTAGGATTTGATCTCCAGGTATGCCTGCCGCCTGAGTCACTGAGATGGCAACTGAGACCGGGCATGGTGGTGCGCATCTGTAATCCAAGCACTTGGGGGGCTGTAAACAGGATAGCTATGAGTTCAATCTGTGTAGTGAGACCCTGTATTAAAAAAAATACATCAAAAATAATATTCTTTTCCTAGAATAAGTATCACTGGTTTTGTTTCTCTTACTGAGAATCCCATAGGTTTAGTTCTTCATTAGGAGAGCCTTCTTTGAGAGATGTGCTTTAGGTTGAGCACAATTCCACATGAAGCAAGTAAAATAGGATAAATTGGATGTTTCTCAGCTCTTTACACACCATCCATTAAGGAAAAGTAAGGTAGAGTAGTAGGAGGGTAGAATTTGGAGACATGAAGACCTTTGGTAATCACTTCCCCTTTTTCTTTTGGTTTTCTTTTTTTTAATCTTTTTTAGTCATAGCTTTTTTTTTTATAATTAGCTCATAATGTTTGTACCTGCCTATTGAAAACCGAGAAAATCTGATACAAAATTACAGTAAGTAATGATCAAGGTAACATTTCCATCTCTGAGAACATTTTCCCTTCTACATGATGGGAAGCTTCAGACTCCTTTTTCTGAAATAGATCATGCATTATTATAGACTGCAGTCACTGTACTTATGGTGTTATAAAGCAGTAGATAGAATTTCTCTATGGAACCGTATGTTGTTGGCATCATCTTACCTCTTGATATCCCCTTTCTCTTCCTAGTGTCTAGTGTACGCTACTCTTCTATGATACTGACTTTATTAGCTGTCATAAATGAGTGAGAATCACGATATTTGCCTTTCTTAGTTGGCTTGTTTCATTTAGTGTGATAGTCCAGATTTTCTTGACACTCAATACCTTAGTCTCCAAGGAATGTTGCAAGCCCCAAATGACAGTGGGCCATTTCCCATCCTCCTCTGAGGGTTCCTTGTTGGAGTCTAGCTTAATACACTCAGGAGTATAAATGCTGTGCACAGTAACATCTCTTTTGTTCCCTCCAGATATTACTGGTTATAGAATTACCACCACTCCTACAAGTGGGCAGCAAGGATATTCTTTGGAAGAGGTGGTTCATGCTGATCAGAGTTCCTGCACTTTTGAAAACTTGAGTCCTGGCATGGAATACAATGTCAGTGTTTATACTGTCAAAGATGACAAGGAAAGTGTCCCTATCTCTGATACCATCATCCCAGGTAACAGAAAAATAAGTGGTTATTCTCAGAATAGTCGTTTCGGCAAGAGTAGGGATTAGCGTCTTAATCCGCAAATAGTTGAGCATGTCAAATACAAAATACGGCTGGGACTTAATTTAGTTCCAACCTCCCATGTTCATTATCCATGACCATGAAGTCAAAGCGACTGTCCGGACAAAGGCTTGCTGTTAACACTGCTTCACTGTCTGCTTCACTGGGATTCTATTCGTTGCGATGGGTATGTGATGGAGTGGCAACCATGGCATTAACACTGTACTGTTTGCTCACGTGGAAGTATTACTAAAACAACGTTGTGTATCTGTACTCAGTGCTGACAGGCTAAAAGTAATGTGGTAAATGCATCCCATTGGTACATTGTGCCTTACTGTACAGTCCATCTCAGTTTCCAGCAGCTAGCCATTCAATGTTTGCCTCCATATGTGAGCAGTGAAATAGCTCTCGGTTGACAACATTCAGTTCCTTTATTTTGTAGCTTAATTAAAAAAAAAAAAATTGGGATAAAGAAAAAAAGAAGCAAAGGCTTACACCTTCACAACTTTCTTTCTGGGGATTGAACCCAGGGCTTTGTGCATGTGAGGCAAGAACTCTACCACTGAGCCACCTCCCCAGCTCTGGAACATTGTTTCTTATGAATTAACCAAAAGGCAGATTAATGTATGAGCAGATTCTTTGTCCAAAGTTGGATTATGACAGACTGAAAGCATTGGACAGTCTGTGTCTCCTCTGTGCTATTGGGTATATATTTCCTAAGGCTAATTAAATAACCGTGATTATGAATTTAAAGTATTGGCAGTGGCCTCAGAATCAGGCCTGTCTGTCCTTGCCTTGAATGGCACATTTCCTATCATCTATTCATAATGCATCGTGGCCACGATGTCTTTAGTGTTGCATGGGGGGGGGGAACAATACATCAGCCCCCTTTTTTTTTTTAATCTTTCTTTATGCAAACTTTTATTTTTACACTAAAATGGTTTTGAGAGTTTAGTGAAACATGGATGATGCCAACTACAGATACTATGTGTAGTTTCTTAAAATGTTTTTGACATCCTAGGCAGGCCTATGATTTTTAGGGGTCTAAGAAGTTCAATCTATACCGTTTAGGTACATTTTCGAATTGCACAAAGAAGTCCCTAAAGAATATTATAACCCATTTTATTCTCCCAGGGAAGCAAAGTATTCATCATACTTAGGAAGCCTTTGCAGAAATTTTGAAACTGATTGCATATTACCATCATTGCTTTACCATTCCACCAATTGTATGACTGGTAACCTGATATACACTGCTTTATTTTTTCCTTTCTTCTGCTTCCATTTTCCTTTTGCTCCCTTTCTGCTTTGTAACTCAATAGAGGTGCCCCAGCTCACTGACCTAAGTTTTGTTGATATAACCGATTCAAGCATCGGCCTGAGGTGGACCCCGCTAAACTCTTCCACCATTATTGGGTACCGCATCACAGTAGTTGCAGCAGGAGAAGGGATCCCTATATTTGAAGATTTTGTGGACTCCTCAGTAGGATACTACACAGTGACAGGGCTGGAGCCGGGCATTGACTATGACATCAGCGTTATCACTCTCATTAATGGCGGAGAGAGTGCCCCTACTACACTGACACAGCAAACGGGTGAATTTTGAAAACTTCTGTGTTTGAGACATAGACGGTGTTGCATGCTGCCACCAGCTACTCTGGTTAAATATGGACATTTCAAGGGGAAAGCCGACAGTGGCCACCTAGATGAAGACAGGGAGTGGGATGGTGCTCAAGGTATTAGAAATCAAATGCATATACTAAATTAGCTGGATGAAGACAAATGCAAGTAGTCTTAAGTGTACTTCACTTAACTACAGAAAATATATATAAAGCTAGAGAAATCTGCATATCTGGCCTATTCAATACAAAGTACCAGAGTTGTATTGAATTTGCAAACCTAGAGCTGTTTTCTTTTTAAACTTTTGTGATAAACACCAGTTAATATCTAAACTTCTAATGTGATAAACACAGTAATATCTAGAGTGGTACTTCCAAAATGTACCACTATGCTCTTGCTTCTTATGTTTAGATAAATTCTACCATGTTCCGTCTTTGGAGCTCTCTAAAAGCCCACCAAAATTAGGATGCAGTGGAAGGGTCTATTTTGAAGTGGAAGAAAATTAAACTTTGCAGGCATCTACTTAAAAAAATTTAATTTTACTATGACAAAATAAAGAAACTCCTCTTTCACCAGAGTCTGGGGACCAGCATGCAACACTTTAAAAGGTTCTCTGTCCTGCATGGTAAGAATCATGCTGAGAACCAATTTGCATGAGCCTTCTCACTTGTAAGTAGAATTCACGGAATGAACTGTAGCTCTACACTAGCTTGTAGCCATCTCACATCAGGGGGGAAGTGCAGGACCCTTGTGTCTTTCTGTCTGTGTGCATGTGTTTCTCTGGAAAGTACCGCAGTGTTTCCTTTTTGCTGTGTGGCAATTTAAGCCTCTTTAGCCCGGGATAAAATATACTTCAGTGATATTAACCATGTATGGAAATCAACCTATTTCAAAGTAGATTAATTTTTTTTTGCACACGTGGGCCTGATTTATTTTATATAAGAGTATATTCTCTCATTGCATCCATTTACCAACAAAAGACTCAGATTTATTCTGTTTTTATAGCTGAATAATACTTCATTGTGTAGAAACATCACATCTTTTTTTTATCCATTCTTCAGTTGATGGGCATCTGGGTTGTTTCCAGGATTTAGCTATGACAAATTGCACTACTATAAACAATGGTACACATATATCACTGTGGTATGAGGTTTTCACTCCTTCTGGAAAAATACCCAGGAGGGGAATAGCTGGCTTGAATGGGATCTCCAATCCTAGCTTTTTAAGGAATCTCCACACTGATTTCCATACTGGTTGTACTGGTCTGCACTCCCACCAACAGTGCAGAAGGGTTAGATTAAAATTATTATTTAACATACACTGATGATGGCAGAAAGGTGAAAGGGGCCTAACAGTAGAATTATTTTTAACAATGGTACACTGTGATTTAGATTAGGCTTAAATGATTTGCATGATTATGACTGTCTGTTTTATGCATGAAATATTGTTTTTACCTTTCCGACTATTTTATTTGCTCTAGCTTTGAAATTATATTAATTTTGCCTTCTTTCTTGTTTGAAACCAGCCGTCCCTCCTCCCACTGACCTGCGGTTCACCAACGTTGGCCCAGACACCATGCGTGTCACTTGGGCCCCCCCTTCGTCCATTGAGCTGACCAACTTCCTGTTGCGCTACTCTCCTGTGAAAAATGAGGAGGATGTTGCAGAATTGTCCATTTCGCCTTCAGACAATGCAGTGGTCTTAACAAGTAAGCGCTCAAACATATCTATTTAATAAATGACAACCTGGGGCATCGACTTCTCACATAGGAGCAATAAAAGCCACAGAACTACAAACTAAACTCCTTATTTAATGTGCAGCTCTATAAATCTTGAAAGATGTATTATTATTGCTGTCTTGCTATACCTTTGATATCTACAACTTCCTAAAATGCATTGTGGAAAACCTTAGCAGTTTAGTTCAAAGACTTCAAGCACATTCTGCTTCCAAAGAAGCTCTTAAATATAAGTGGATAGCAAGAGAAATTACATGACTAAATCAAAATGTTTAGAGAAAAAAAGTGAAGATTGAAATTAG